TTAAAATTTAATTTTTATAATTTTAATATAAATTTATAATAAAAAATATATTTAATATATCTTTAATTTATACTTTTAATCCATAAATTTTTTTTTTTTTATAAAAAGGACAACAATAGCGCAATCTGCTCGTTTGTTCTGGTCCCTTCTTTTTGAGTTGTGCCGTTGATATTGTGATTTTTATTAATTAATCAAAAAGTGCAGTTTGTTTGCGTTCCCGTGGGCCGTGGTCGTGGTGGTAACAGCCGGATTTGCGGCTAAGGCTCCGTTTGGATACTGCAGAAGTTTCGGTACAAGAAGCATTTGAATTTAAATGGAGGGTTTATTGGAAAATGATATGTTCACACCGGGGTCAACACCCGGTGTGCACACTCCCTTTTGAAAAAAAAAAAACCCATCACTCACCCGGTTCAATTTTTTTTTTTATATGGGGGTGCACACCCGGGTGTTGGATCCGGGTGTGCACCAATCAGGGTCCGGGTTTATTTATTTAAAGAACGCTTTCTTTCTTTTTCTTTGTTTTAATATTTCCTCATTTCCAAAAAAAGGCCCAAACCGCGTTCCAAAAAGTAGATTGCTTTATTTATTTATTTTTTAATAATAAAAGTTTACAATTTTGTTTTATTTATTAGTCAATTATAATATAACAAATCCTTATAATCGTAGCATACATCATACGAGTAAATGAATATTAATTTATATATTTTGAGCGATTGAAAAAAAAAGGTTGATAAAAATTATTTAATTATTTATTTTTAATAAACTTAATTTGATTTTTTAATTTTTTGAATATGAATTTCATATAAAAATTTAACATACTATATAAATGGTAATAAATTTTGTTTTTTGATCAAATAAGAGTACTCATATAAGAAAAAAAAATTTAGTTGTTATTCATATAAATTATTAAATTTTATTTAAAATTTATATTTAAAATTTTAAAATTTAAATTAAATCTAAAAAAAATAAAGAAAATTGATTTAAGGACAATTTTTTTGTATTATTTTTTAATGTAACTTTACATATCATTTAAATTATTAGTTTTTTTTACTTATTTGATACTTATACTATTAAATGTATTCACTCATCTAATAATATGTAGAAATTATATAAAGAAATATTATAAAAAATTATTTCTATATCACCACTAAGAAATAAATGGATGGAGGACTATATTATTCAATGTTGTAAGAATTTGTAACTGATCAAAAAAAAAAGTTGTTTT